AAATTTTCTCATTAAAAAAAATCTTAAAAATACTCTTGTGAAAAAAAAAATATACATATTTAATATATAAAAATTAATTATAAATTTTAAATATTCAAATAAAAAACTCATAAATATCTTTAATAAAATTGTATTAACATTTCGATTCATGCAATGAGTTATTTTTTATGTGATTACTTTATAAAGTACATTAGTGAATATATTTTTTATGACAAAATATAAATGTTTTTTTTAATTACATATTAATATTTTGTGTATATATATATATATGTGTGTTTTTTTAGAATTGCATATTCATATTTTGTATATATTCATTATATTGATGTTCTTGTCACATTTGAGTAATTTTATATTTTTTTATTAACTTAACATGAAATTATAATTATATATTGTAATAACTCGTCATATTCCTTACATTAAACAATATAAGTACTAATAATGAAAAATAATTAATTTAAGATTATATATTTATAAATACTATAATAGGTACAATATCACATGCATATAAATATGAAACGACTACTCTAATATATACAATATACATATAGTAATCTTGCATATGTAAATATATAACTAAGTTGTCAATCAAACAATTATAACTATATATAGAAATCTACCATTAATAGGTAGTCATAAAAAATATCAAGCTCCAACACCACTATATGACCTCTACTACAACACTCCAACCCTATCCCTACCTACTCACATATCACGTATGATCATCACAATCTAAATCACATGGAAATATGCAAGGATAAGCTAAGAAAACAAGGAAACAACACACACACATATACACACACACAACATAGGAACATCACATCATCATCTCATATTTGACAACATAGCAACGAAGTATTACAACATACAACACAGATCAACATAATCCAACTTTGATTCAACATAGCAACACATCTCATCAATTCAACACAACATATGAACAATGCAATCAACTCAACACATTATATGTTTAACACAACAACTATGTGTGTTGTCACGCATTTCAAATATGATACAACATAAGGTAAGCAGTTTAAGTGATTTGATCCTATCGAACCGATAACACAGGGTAATCTTTTCAAACTTGCTAAATCAACAACAAATTAAATATAAATCCGCAACACAACAACTTAGTTTATCGGATGTCGCCACTTAAACGAGGAAATATAGTACTAATGTTAAGAGACTCAGTTAAGCTACCACAACATTAGCTAGCTTAACTAAATCTCTTATGGGATTAGCCCACCGACTATCCTCCAAATACTACAACTTTTTGATACTCAGTTATGAACTAAGTTTTCGACTTTGTATTTTACTCAGTTGGTCACTTGTAATCAATATATCTTAACTTGACCTATATATTGCGGTCGCTTCATACATGTGTACCTTGACCTTGCTCATACACAATACCAGCAAAGTCCTACAGGAGAAATAATACAATATTCACTTCAAGGGTCAATTTTTCAATAAGTGATTTTAACAAATTAGGTTCTTGAAGCACCACAATACAATATCCACATAATCGAATATGCAACTTTCAAAAATATCTTGAGAAAACAATATCATAAATCAACTTAAACAACTATAACAATTTACAACTTAATTAAATCATTTATTGTGCAATGACAACCTTTACACAACAACGGATAGGAAGTTCTACTACTCCTATCATGTTCATCCTTATCTCATACGAAAGACAATAAGATTTTATACAACTTTATGTAGAACTCAAGTTCTAATTTCATTGTCTAACATGTTAAAAATTGAAAAACTGAAACAATTTGCCTAAATTAACAGTTTGACCTTTACTCACTAAGAAGGTCATAATTGAAGTTATAGATCTTATTTTTAGATGATTCTAAAGCCATTGGAAAGCTAAGATTCCAGGCTACAACTCAATTTATGGTAACTCAATTTTTCTCTAAGGTTGCAACGCTCAACTCAGTGCTTCAGCTTTGGATTTATACCAACTCAATTTTTCTCATAGCAATAGAACTCAACCACGACTACAACATTGAGTGCAGAAATTTCCTGCATTTTCATGGTTTCCCCTTCGTTCCTCACCTTCACTTCACCAATATTCCTCCTAAACACTATCTACCACTCACTATCTCTACTAGATTCATTCATGCAACCCATAAATCACAATAAATACAACATGCATGTACTAAAACTCAAAGAAATCATCAAGAACATCAAAATTTTAGTTTCAACATGCAACTAACTTTGAATCCATCCCCACAGTTACAAATTTTCAGAAATTCTACTGATTTTAAGTTTTTAATTCATTTAACAACCCAACATTTGAACAAAATCCAAGATTTCCAGTTTTCTTTACCTCGAAATGGAGTCAAACAAAGGAAAGCTCCAAACCACTTCGAGGTGGAAGAAAGGAAGAGAACAAAGGCGGAAATGAGCTCTAAGGTCCAACAATTCGAGATTCGTACCTACTTTACGAGATTCTCAACTCCCAATTGCTTTAAATTATCACCGGTTACAAAGTCTCCGAGCATAAATTTTCTCTTAAGAATCTAAGAAGTGGAAGAAGAAGAAGAAGAAACATTTAGGTTCTTAGAGTTCCTCTCTCTTCTAAGTCATATCTTACATATATTGTTTTAATTATTTATATGATTTTTTTTAAATAACAATATAACACAAATAAAACTTCATAGCTTATATATTTTTAAAAATAGAATTAAATATTTTTTTATCTGACGAGTAAAGTTATGTTTGGTTTTAGTTTTTTAATAAATAAATCGTTTGCCACTATAAGAAAATTTCTATGTAGTGATACACACCCTATAGTAACACTATACATGTGACTAAAAATTACTTTTACTTACACAATAATTACAATATATGTTGGTATATTATTAAAAAGTGTGAGTATAAGTTATAGTAACACACAAAATATGTTGTTAAATCTCATTCAAAATCAACACTAAAATTGTGTATAACTATATGTCAAATAGACATATACCTACATATATTATACCTATAGTGACACTTTTTGTATGTCACTATATGTAACATTTATTGTAGTGTGCTCTTGATCTTTGTCCTTCACAAAGATGATCATATTTTGGTCTTTTATAAATAAAATAATAAAATAGGAATTACTTATTACACATTTAAATGAAAGGATAATTTATTTTTAGAGATTAAAAGTTATATTATTTATGTGCAGGAAATAAAAATATATTTAACAATATTTTAGTCAAAAAACTTGAAAGAAACGAACAAAAAAAAATTAGCAAGATGATAAGCTAATATCAAAGATGTGTTTGTCATAAAGTTTAAGGAGCACTAAAATATGCATCCTTCTTGGCAAGCTAGTCTATAGAATTATTTTTCTCTTAAAAAATGTGTAGAAAAGAAAGAATCAAATTAACTATAGAATGCTTATTGAATCAAATTTACAAATAATAAAATTTATGATCAACTGTTATTTTAAGTGTATTACATGAAAATTTGAAAATAATTAAACATTTAAGTTTGTTGTAAAATTATAATATCCTAAATAAACAGTTATTCATTAATCAAATTATTCCCTAATCATGAAAAGAGTTTTCAATCAATGTTGATCTTAACGATATTTTTCCTGTGAAAAAATTGAAGAACTTTCAAAGATTTATATTGAAAATAAGGTAATTGTTCTTACCTTTGTTTTTGTATGATGAACAATTTTTTGAGTTACAAGTATATTGTCACAAGTCACTCTTATTTAGATGAAACTACTTTGAAATGAACTAATGAAAGTGTTCAAATCATGTCTAATAAGATTCAACAAAACCTTAAAGATAAGCTTGAAATAGTGTTGCACAAACTTGTTGGTTGAAACTCTTTTAGAAAGGATGATTGTGATGTTTTAGAACTGGAACAACAAGGGTTTCATAAGAGAGAATATTATTCTCAATGGAAAAAGTGTTTGCAACAATCTTCCAAACATGTGTACCTACAACCTCCCAATAATTACAAAAGAATACTAGTTGAAATTCATATAAGCTCAAACATTTGTAAGGACTTATGGAGGACACAAGTTTGAATTGCACAATCTTTCTTAATCTTATCCAGTATCACAAGTTTTCAATAAGTAGTCACAACCTTAATCTTAGGTTGTTTGAATTGCATGCGAAAATGATATTTGAAAAAAAATTGCACTTCCCACTTTAAATTGAATTTTAAGCACCAAATACCATCAATCAACAAACTAGTAATCTTATTCTTCGTTCTTTGAATCATTGTTTAAAGTATAAAGAAATTTATTCTTTATCTAATTCAATTTATGCTTAACCTTTGTAGTGCATTCAAATTGTTGAAACATTTTATCCTGGTATTTAGAATAACATTATTAAGTATGAAAAATTTATTAACTTTTACACTAAGTATTTATATATAGTAAGTATAAAATATATAAAATTTAATTAGTTGGTAATGTATTTTTTTTTTAATAATGTATGGAAACATTAAACCCTTTTAATTTTTTTTTAAAATATATATTTTATATTATAAATAACAAAAAATGATAGTAAATATCCAAATAAAATAATTTCATAAAAGTTTCAATGAAAGTTATTGAATGATACACTTGTAAAATATATTTCATAAAAAATGTAGAATCTATACCGATAATAAATAATAAATTTATATCTAAAATATATAATCTATCATTCAAATTATTATCTTTTTTTATCATTATTTATTTATTTATTTTAATTTTTAAAATTGCTCAAAATTACCTTTATAATTAAAATTATTCGACGACTACTAATCCTCTAACTATTAAACTTTGTTTTTTTATTTTTTATTTTTATTTTAAAAAATACGCGAAATGACTTTTATATACATGATATGCTAAAGCCAATAGATTTTTTTCACACACATTTTATTTCAAAATTTATCTCTAAAATTTATGCTTTATTTCCAAATACAAACAATCACACCTTTCAAATAATTATTTCCTATTCTATTTTTCATTATTTATTTTTTTTACAATGAAAGAGACACACCTTTTAAATAACTACCTTTTTTTTTATAAAAAAAAATGATAAAATACTAAGTTTTTTTTCCACTAATTTTAATAATAAAGTGATATATTTATCTTGGGTCCATATTTTTTTAAGTCATTTTATGTTTATTATTACTTTTAAACCACACTTTTCTCATTATTTTTATTTTTATTTTATTCATTTGACGATAAACTTTACGGTGAAATAAAATCTCTCTCCCTATTATTTTTTATTTTAAAATTTAAAAGCACATAGATGGCTTTCCACTGGTATGTATAAAGAGAGTATTGATTCTGGTTGGTTCAGCTGAGACGGAGACGATGGAAATTACGACTGCGATATGGAAACAAATTGAGGAATCAGAGAGGTAATGGAAACTTTTGATCCATCCATCCATCCATCCGCTATTACTATTACTATTACTATTGCTATTAGGTTTTCATGATATCATGTGTTGCAGCTACCTTGTTTGTGCTATGTACGAAGACGCCGCATCATTAGCTTCCTCTATTTTGGAACGCTTGCGTGATGCCCATGATAGAGGCCTTGAAACTCAAGATATGTTGGAATCATCTGCCATGGTGCTGCTTCAGGCATTCAACCTTCTTGGCAGGTGTTTTTTTTTCATCATTAGCTTCAGGCATTCTTCAATTGTGATAGTTAATAATAACATCATCATTCTTTAATGCCCTAGGACACCCGAGATTCTTAATCAACTCAGACTATACTTCATTTCAGTTAAAGCTATTCCTCCCCTCGTTCTTCTTACTGGGTATGCTTGCTTTCTTTAACATCTGCTTTCGACTTTTAACAGGAGACTCATGCTCTTTTTTTATCTTTTGGTTCAGAGCTTGTTTTCAAATAGCACAAGGTTCTACGCTTGGCGTTCAAGAATTTCTTGAGGAGTTTCTTAATGGATGGAGTCTTGAAGAAGCACAATATTGTGCTGTCATTACCGAGACAAATGTAGAGGGTGCAAGGAGAGATGTAAGGCGCTTTGTTCTTGGAACTGATGAATATTTGCAAGTTGTTGAGGTCTATACTTTCGCGCTTCTTGCAACAGTTTTGAAAGATGTAGATCTTGCAATTTCCTGGGTTGAGAATGCTTCATTGCCCGAGGAAAATCGACAGGTAAGGATCTTCTCTTCGGGTTAAGTTTTCATGTTATAGTATAAATCAAGGTTAATGGTTTTGTAATTAGGCATTTGAACTAGAAATGGAACACAAAGTTATCGTGTGGTTTGGACTGACTGGAATGCACAATTTACTAGTTGACGTGCACCGTGTATCAACTGAATTTTTTCTGTACAAGTATGACATGTATAACTCAAGTGGTTGTTTGGGCGATGTGGTTCAGTGGCAACTGAGCACTAAGTCATCAATATGCACATCCCCAAATTGATCACAGCATATGTGCTGTGATTTTACACTGATTGCAACAACCAGAATCAAGGATTATTTTTCCTCTTTTTATTCTTTGTGCATGTGTTCATGGAAGGAAAATTGCATTCAGTTGATTAACGAAGTTCTTTTGGGGGGCTTGTAAAGCATTGTAACAGATATTACTCTGGGTATGGTTACTGATTCTGACCACTACCATTATATATATATATATATTTTTTTTTTTATATGATCTTTTACTTAAATTTGATCAACTTTTGTTGGATATGATTTCTTCTCTACCTTACCTCTCAAAGCTTGATAGTGTAAGTTCTGCACGTGAGCAATGCCTCATGTATACTTGTGCAATGTGCTTTTTTGTATGTTTATCTTTCTCTATTAACTGTCGTTTTCATTGGAATAAAACAGTTAACTGCATTCTCTGTTGTCTATATTGGTGAAAGGGAATCAGATGTAAGCTTTTTATCTATACCTTGGATTTGTTAGTCTAAGCTGACATTTGGACTTGTCAGTTTTTCCTCTGATTCTCCTTCTTTTTTGATAAATTATACACTCTGTAAAATGTAACTATCATAATGATAAGAATTGTGGTTTTGATTAACATTAATATGCATCAAAGTAGGAATTTATTTATAGATTATAAAACATAAGGTATTATTTTCAAAGTGATTTTTTTTATAAAAAATGTAGTGTTATTTTTTGTTGTTGTCTATATTAGTTATTTCATTGGTAAAACTTGATATCTAGCTGATTAAAAACTCTAAATATGATTGCCATTCTCTGCAACACAATAACACTCTCTAGTCTCTACAACATAATTACCACTCTATCTGGTCCTTAACTGAAATTTTTTTAAAAAAAATCCTATTTGTGTAAGTATTGGCTTGTTTTTCCTTAGGCAGGGTGATTCCCCCCATTCATTCACTGACTGTTTGTATGCCATTGTATTTGTAGGGACTTCTGAGAAGGTTACACTCCATGCATTCTCGTAAAAGTAGCATTTTGTCTCAAATTTCCTCTCCGCATTCACCCACAAATGGCAATGAAGCTTATTCTTTTAAAGAACAAAATGTGTCTGAAGGATTACTGAAATCCTTGAAAAGCAAACATGTAGACAATGAAAAGAATAGGTCCAAAGAACCTGTTCCAAAACTGTCTGAACGAATAAAAGCATGTTTCTGGTGCTTCCGTGCTATCAATTTGAAGATTGGCTCTGCTAAGTTTGTCATAACTAGTGGGAAGATTCTGCTTGGTTGTTTGATCGTGTTCATCTATTATGTTTTCAGAAAGAAGCAAGCTAGATTACAAAGGTACTCATTTAGATTTATAGCTCCATAGTGTAGTATGTATCTCAAGTATTTGTTTTCTGTATCCTCTCATCTCAGAGGATACAATCATTGTTGCACATTAAAATTATCTTTAGTTTAAGTTAATTGTTTTTGTTTTTACCTTTCTGCTTGCTGTTGTTCTTGTTTTCTTATTTGAGGAAAATATAATTTATTTAGGATGTGTATTATTCTTATTTGTATAGCTGTATTTCCTTGTTTCCTTGGTTACTTTATTTCCTCAAGCAGTTTGATAGATTTCCCATCTGAAAGAGCCATTTTTATTCAAATAGAAGAGAGTTACGGGCAAAGGGATCTGCTATCCCCCTTTCTCACTAGCCTAGCTCCAAACAACTTCCTCAGAAAAACTAGAAGAAGATCCCCTAACAGACTCCCCTTACCTTTTCAATATTCCCGCTAACAACTTCATGGAATTTAGGATAAAAGAATAATAAAGAATAACAAACTTCCAAGATAATCAGAGACCTAGAATAACACAGTAATAGTTAACAACTTCCTTGATAGATGACAGATTCCTAAATCCGTTTGTTGTTTCTTATTCCACCTATAGTAGACTTTCCAAACCTTGGGCCTGCTACTCTGCCTTACTAGTTGGGCTCTATCACAATCCAGCCATCTTTTGTTTCTCTTAAGAGTTCTTTTCTGAGACAGGGTGAGTTGGGCTTTTCTAAAAATCTATGGGAAATTGATAGATTTCACTAGGTCCCCTATCAGAAATTTAATTTGAATAGGTGTCGAGGGCTAGTGGACTATCTTATATTAAAGTTATCCTTATTGAATTTATACTAATAACTTGATATGTAGTCTGTATTTACAATAGGAATAGGGCAATATTATGAAGTTAGAACTTGAAATGTAGTGTTTTGGCCGGCCTATACCTGGACTGATGGACAAAGATTATGAATGGGTAGCTTCTAATTTGTTGTTATGATGTTTGACTTCAAACACTTGTGATTCCTGGTGTTATTAGTTACATAATTTGTAGGATATTTTGTAACCTTTTCTGAAGAGTCATGTTATTCCAAATGATTTATCGTATTTTATTTGGCACTGGCTTTGATGTAAAGTATTTCCGTTTCATCGAGTTCAAGGCCCCTTATTGCAATTCAAGGATGGCCCTTCATGTGAATTGTTTTTAGTGTGTATGTGTGTGTGTGTATATATATATATATATATATATATATATATATATATATATTCAACTTTAGGTTTAATTCTTATTTTAATAATTTAAGGTCCGTTGTAATTTCTTGTTTATTATCTTACTATGGCTGAGATTTTCCAATAATTTGTATTTAAGTTCCTAAGGAATCTGTTATCATCATGAGCAAAATCTGTTTCACTTTCTGCCGTGTCTAATGGTGAAAGAAAAGAGTAGATTTTATTTATTCAAATAGGTTTGTGAGCAAGACTGGGGTTGAGGCACCCTCGGTTAACTAGTGGGTCTATTATACTGAATAATAAATTAATAATCAGTTACGTTTGCTGTGGCCAAGCCCCGTTGAATGGATTTGTAAGACTTATGGCAAGCTCTACGGTATTTGCTCTGTTTGCGTCAGGGATTATATGGTTCTGATTCTGAATGACTATTCATGGTTTAGGATTGCAAAAAGACAGGTGATCGCCGTGAAGAGGGCTTTGGTAGATTTGTGGCAGCTTGCGTTTTCGTACCAAGTAAATCCTCTGGTTCAACCACTGTCTGCTGCAGCACGTCAAGGTCAGTGATGCCATGATGGAATTGTTGACCAAGCATGTCCTTATTCAGGAGCCTGTCACAACTAATCCTCAGTGTAACACCACCTACCCGTGCAAGCTTTCTTTAATTTCTCATGCTATTGCATGAAGTGTGACAGGGTAGTATTATGCCAGAAAAAATTGAACTACTGTATATAATTTTATTAAATGTCAAGATGTGTTGGTGTAATTTGTCCAAAAAATTTTTAGGTCATGTGAAAGGTGCACATGAATTCATGTATTTTTTTTTTCTGTACTAGGAATGGTTGAGATTGAGATATTGTCATAGAAAATTGTTAAACAGAGATAACATATCCATTGCAGAATGCAATTGTGGTGGTCAACTAGTTATTATTGCAACAGAATACTTTGCCAAGCATAGAAAAGCGATCAATTTAATAAGTTTTCCGTGCCAAGGAGCCGCTGATTAGTACTGTGTTTCAACTTTTGTTCAAGGTTTGTGTATTTTGAGTGAACTTTTTATTTTTTGTTTTCACAAATATTATAAAACTACGCTATTTTTCACTATGTTTTTAAGATTTGTGCACTTTTTTATAACATTTTTTATTCTAAAAGCAAGAGAGACATACGTTTGTAATTATTTTAAAAGTAAATTTCAATAAATTCATATTAATCAAAAGGAAAAAATATATTGTAACAAATAAATATGCAACATATTGAAAGATTCAAGGCGGAAAAAGATTTAACATCGATGGTACATAATAATTTTTCAATGCTTGGTAGAAGAATACAACACTAATTTATAGATGAAATTTATGAGAACAAGTTGGATCTAGTAGTAGAGTTGAAGTAGTATGTCTTGTTTTTGTCATTATAATTCTTATTGGTAAAAAAAAAATGAAATTTATAATATGCATTTTACTTTTTGATAAATGTATGATGATTTAATATTTGAACTAATAGTTTTAATTTAAATATCTTGATTTATATAATTTTTACCCTCTACAGTCAAGCTTTAGATCCGTTCTTCATCGTTGCATATTGAGACGACTGATGATCAAGTGGAGAGGACGTCGCTGCAGGGAACGTAAAATAGCAAAAAGGATTAAGGCTATGTTTCAACAATTTTTTCTATAAGTAATTCTAAAAAAATAAAATATTAAAAAAATAAAATTATTTTTTTCATAAATTAAAAGTAATTTATATTTAAGTTAAAAAAATATTTTAAAGAATTTAATATACGAAAGTTTTTATAAAATTAGTTTATATATAAATTAATTTTAACTTTTGAATAAATTTACTTCATTTTTTTTTCTAATTTTCTTTTCCTAAAAGTGATCATGGAGAAACAGACATTGTTTTTGTTTTGAGGGCGAGAGGCATGGCGATAGCAGCCTGTGAATTCAATTTTTGAAGTTGTTTTAATTCTGTTTATTTTGTTCCTTTCGATTCATTTTGTATTTGTGTTGGAGCCAAATTTTTTGTTTGTTTGTTTGTTTAAGGTTGGAGTTAAACTAAGCCAAAAATCAAGCGTAATTTGGATAAGAAATGGAAATTGATAAATGACTAACAGTTAATAAATGAGTTTAATGGACAGTTTACGGTGTGATTATATATATATATAGAATATATATATATATATGTTTGAAACAGACAAAAAACTGTTACTGCAACAAAAGGCGATTAGAGTGATTAAAGTTGGTAGAGAAGACGTTGTAATTGAGTGGCACGATGGCGAAGTTAGAGTGGAGTAGCCTACAAAATAGGTGTCGTGTATTGAGAGGCTGTGCATGTATTTCTGATTATCAAGACATACACATTCCCATGCAACACATAAATACACGACTTGGTCAACCTTAACCTCACTCTCTCTAATTATTTTTTTCGTAAACAAAACCTCTCTACTCTCTATTCTTGGCTCTCTCTCCTTCTCTTTCTCCTTTCCCCTTTCAATGCCATCTAAAGTTGTCGACCCTGCATCACCAACCCTTCCCTTCCTCACCATTTCCAAAGCATGCCCTTCTGGAGGGCGTGCGTGTGCCAACCCTGCCCCTTCACTATGGCACTCCTCACTTCCTTAACTTCATTCACATTCACATCTCTTTTATTCATCCTCTCTTCATCATACGCTTCAGACACAGATTCCATCCTCAAATTCAAGGACTCCCTCGAAGACAACAATGCATTATCCTCATGGAATGCATCCACCCCTCCTTGTTCAGATAGTTCTGCCAATTGGCCTTACATTCAGTGCTATAAGGGAAACATATGGGGGTTGAAGCTCGAGAACATGAGGCTCAAGGGGGATATTGACGTCCACTCCCTCGAGGAGTTACCCTTTCTCAGAACATTAAGCCTCATGAACAATGACTTTGAAATCACGTGGCCTGATCTCAACAAGCTAGTGGGTTTGAAGACCCTTTACCTCTCAAATAACAAGTTCTCCGGGGAGGTTCCTTCTCAGGCTTTTCAGGATATGAAATGGTTGAAGAAAATTCATTTGTCCAACAACCAGTTTATAGGTTCTATTCCAATTTCCCTCTCATCCATACCTAGGCTCATGGAGTTGAGGTTGGATGGAAACCAATTCACCGGCACCATTCCTGATTTTCATCATCAATTGAAATCATTTAGCGTAGCTAATAATCAATTAGAGGGAGAAATACCAGCCATCCTAAGTAACATGCCCGTTTCATCTTTCTCTGGTAAGGACAAAACTCTTAGGTAGTATTTTTGATACCGTTCTCCAATCAAACTGATCTATGTTGACATTTTATATAAACCCTATGTTAATTCCTATATAAATAGCCAACTATTTGTTTGTTCCAAATGGAGCATGCAGGTAATGAAGGGCTATGTGGGGCACCGTTAGATAAATGCCCCACCAAAAAGAAATCAATTACGAGTATTGTTGTGGCTGTGGTTCTTGTTATTTTGGCACTGATTGTGATTGGAGCAGTAATATTGCTTGTCCTCCGAAGAAGAAAACAAATGCCAGAAGTGCCTTCAGAGAATCCACCAACATCCGAAAAGAAATCAGGAAGTAGGGAACTGTCGGATGAAGGAAGTCACAGGTCGTGTGTCTCTAGCCGCAGCAGCAGAAAAGTAGACAGCATGAGGTTATCGTTTGTGAGGGATGACAGAGAGCAGTTTGATTTGCAAGAACTGCTTCGAGCCTCTGCTGAGATATTGGGCAGTGGTGTTTACAGCTCTTCCTACAAGGCTGCTCTCTTAAATGGGCCAGTCATGGTGGTCAAGAGATTCAAGCAAATGAACAATGTAGGGAGGCAAGAGTTTCAGGAGCACATGCGACGGATAGGAAGGTTGAATCACCCTAATCTGCTTCCTCTCGTCGCCTTCTACTACAGAAAGGAGGAGAAACTCTTGGTTACCGACTACGTTTACAATGGCAGCTTGGCTGTTCGCCTTCACGGTATATACTTTTATACTATGAGTTTGTTTAGATAAATTTCTTCATAAATACTTATAAGAAAAGAAAATAGAAAGGAAAACAATAAAATTATCTTACAAAGCACTAGTTTAATTACTTGTGTTCTCAACTGCTCATCATTTTATAATATAAGGTACACAAGATGATCTATCTATATATATATATATATATTTTTTAATTTCTTCGTAGTCTTTACTGTTTATCAGTCAAAAATCATAGTAAATATAATTTTTAAAATAATTATTGTAAAAGTTAATAGACATATCATATATGATATCATTAGTGATTGAATGCTAGTATAAAAGTTGTATCAACGTTTGCTTGGATATAAATATAAAAAAGTTTTTGAGAGTTTCCCTTAAAAAAAGTAAAGAACTTTTTCTAGTAAATAACTTTCAAAAGCAATTCTAGCTAACTTGTATTCAAATAATTAAGTTCTTATTCGTGTATATATGTTACACACACACTTTTATATATATATATAAAATTGAAATATGGATATTGGTGCAAGTGGTTGATTAATTGTATTAGGATATGGTTACTTGTTTCAGGATACCAAGCTCTAGGGCAACCAAGCCTTGATTGGGGAAGCCGGTTGAAGATAGTGAAAGGCGTAGCAAAAGGGCTTGATTATCTGTACAAGGAGATGCCAAGACTAATTGCACCCCATGGACATCTCAAGTCCTCCAACGTTCTTCTGAGTGAATCTTTGGATCCCATCCTCACAGACTACGGGTTGGTACCAGTCATAAACCAGGATCTTGCTCCTGACATCATGGTGATCTACAAATCCCCTGAGTATTTGCAGCATGGCCGTGTTACAAAGAAGACTGATGTGTGGGGTTTTGGAATACTCATTTTGGAGATTCTCACTGGCAACTTCCCTGCTAACTTGCAACAAGGGAGGGGAAGTGAGTTGAGTTTGGCAAATTGGGTGAATTCGGTTGTCCCTGAAGAGTGGAGTAGTGAGGTGTTTGATAGGGACATGGAAGCAACCAAAAGCAGTGAAGGGCAGAAGGTGAAGCTTTTGAAGATTGCATTGGCTTGTTGTGAGACTGATGTGGACAAGAGATGTGACATTAAAGAAGCTGTAGAAAGAACTCTAGAGGTAAAGGAAATAGATAACGAGGAGGAAGATTCATATTCTTCTAATGCTAGTGAAGCTGACAACAAGTCTTCAAAGGCTTCGTCAGGTGAAGTCAGTTTCTCCATAGATGGTTGAATGAGACATCATGGTTGCTGCTTGGATTTCGTTACTCTCTCCCCTCAAACAAATGCTATACGGCACGAAAGAAGGGAATGGAATACATGCATGGCTCGTCCTCCATGCACGTTCCATTATGGGGCTTCTATGTTTTCACCTCAAATTTTCCCACTACTGCAAGGTGCTGCTAATGGAAATTTGAGGGCAACAACAACCTAATGCCAATTATGCATGTGATGAGATGGATTTTGAGGTTGAATCAACTCCTTTTTTAGCTGATTAAAATGTATCTTGGCATTTGCATTGCCATCCATATCTCTATCTAGCTTAGTACTTGATAGCTATCCTAATTTTCAGTGTAATTCCAACTTAACAAGGTCATCGGTTTTGAAGCTTCTAATTTGAAGGTACGTAGGTTCAATATTATCTTTTAATTTTTCTTTTAAAAGAACATGTACATTTAGGAAGGAAAATAGAATAGATTTGTTAAATTTTAGTCAGCCTTTTGTTGCATAGGCTAGGGAGTGCATTAGTTGCCATTATCATATATATGTACAGCGGGTTCACTATGAATGTCATTGTATGTTCAAATATGGATGATTCATTAAAAATGATTCTCAAATAATAATGATAAGTGTTTTAAGTAAACATTGCCAAAATGAACGAGAAAATTGAGCATATTACTTGTACATTAAAAAAGAAATAATATGATAAATTGGCGAAGTGGTTATTTACTATATGTTCACATATTGTAGAAATAATTTATTTAGTAGAAAATTTGTGTTTGATTGTCTGTATGAAAATTTGTTGAGTAAACAACAATTACAATGCCAAGTAACCGGTGTGTTAATTTGGACAAATTGCTAAAAAATAAATAATAATTAATATAAATAATACTGTGAATATAAATATTTGACCTCCTTTCTAAATATAGTAATAATAAAAAAATGGATATGTAAAAACAGTTAAAATTCTGTCGGTATTTATTTCCTAAAAATTTTTAACTCTCTAAATTAAGCTAATTTGCATGACATTGTTACTTTTGTGTCAAAAATAATACGAGGATGATGTTATAGTTAGTTCCTGATTAGGTTTTACTTGAATCACGCTTTCGGTTTCTAAAATTGGATTTCATTTCATATATGTAAAAATAGTTAAATTTAACTATTTAAAAAAATGTGTGTATATATATATATATTTATTTATTTATTTTAAAAATTTAAGAAATAGTATCAATTACTATTTACTGGTAATAATAACAATGGAAAAGGTTATTTTTAAGGGATTACAATTTATAAAAATGAAGATCAATAAAATCAGTTCTAGAAAACTAAAATTAAACTTAATCACATCCATAGCAACTAGAAAAATACACTATACTACAATAATTTAAGTTGTTTAGCAAACATTTCAAATTGAAGTTATATATATATATATATATATATATATGAGGAGGGTTCAAACGA